GCACCTTGGACTTCTTCCTTCAGTACCATCAGTTCTTGATACTATGCTACCATTTGAAGTGGTTGAACTTTGCTCATTTCTTCTTGGTATAGTGACTCTATGTATTCTGTCCATCTTCTTTTGATGTTTTCTGCATCATTCAATGCGTTTCACATAGAGTCCTTCAATAGAAAGTCAAGGGTGGACTTTTTCTTCAGATTTTCCAGCTTGAGAAACACTAATTGTACTCTTCCCTTTTTGTTTTCTAACTCCAGGTCTAGACACATTTCTTTACAATACCTGATTTTGTCTTCTCAAGCTACCATTTTTTCTGTTCAACTCTTGACTTCCTTATTTCTTCAAGTTGCATTATCATCTCTACACGGGAAAGTAAATTTCAAAGTTTCTTCTGTCAAGAATTTTAGGGTTTTCTTTCCTGTCTTTTTAATGACCTTTTGTTTTCTTCCTGTATGATGTTCTTGATGTCATCAAACAACCTTTCTGGTCTTTGGTCATTAGTTTCTAATGCATCCAATCTCTTCTTGATTCATGTGGTATGTTCAAGGTCATATTTTGATGCTGTGGATTTTCAAAACATTTCTTTATCTCTACCAGACTTTGAATATAAACAATTTACTAGTCTCTGCCAAAATCTACCCCTGACTTTTTTTGATGATTATATGGAGCTTTTCTGATGTATCTCTCCACAGATATAATCAGTTTGACTCCTTTGTTTTCCCTTTAGTGAGGCTAATGTGTATAGTCACTTTTTAGTAGTTTGGAAAATGTATTTGCAATGAATAAGTAATTGGTTTTGCTATATGCTGTCATGTGATTGCCACCATTATTTCTATTACCAAGACCATATTTTCCAACGACTCATACTTATTCTTTGTTTCCTACCTTTACATTCCAATCATCAGTAATTATCATACATCTTGATTGCATGTTTGATCAGTTTAAGACTGAAGAAATTGCGTCTTGTTGATAAGTGCCATTGAGCTTGTTTATACTCAATGCAACACTGTTCAGTGTTTCCAAGGAATTACTGCTGGATTTGAGAAACCAAGCTTGCAGTTAGCAGTTTGATGCTTATCCTATAGTACTACAGAAGGACTCTGAAGAAGTTGGTATAATTCTTCAATTTCTTCAACACTGGCTTTATTGGTCGAGTATAAATTTGAGTAGTAGTGGTATTAACTGATCTTCATTGTAAGCATATGAGTATTATTCTATCACAGACAACATTATATTTTAAGATAGATCTAGCAATGTTCTTTTTTTTTAAATGTTTTATTGTGAATTATATGATAGTTTACATGGGAGAACATTAGTTTTACATTCATTCTATCGTATATCGTTTCATTGCCATGGTTACAATCCCCTCCATGCATCATCAATCAAACAAAGGGTATACCCTGCAAGCCTGACCCCTACACATCCCCCTCCCCCAGTCTTCAGCACACAGTCACTCTCCCTCTCTGGATTCTTTTTTGACGATGCATGTGGCTCCATGCCTTTTCAATTTGTTGTTCCAGGTTTAGTAAACAATATGATTATCTGATTCAAAATGACCTGTACCAGTCCATTTCAGCTCACTAAATTCTAGGATATTCATCTGTATGTGTTCCATCTCATTTTAACAACTTCCTGTTTTCCTAGATTCATACATTCTACATTCTATGCTCCAATTACCAGTGCATGTTTGTATCATTACTTCTCATTTTGAATAGTGCCCCATCAGCAAATGAAGGTCCCAAAAGCTGCACTACATTAGTGGAATCATAATCAATTCAACTTTGAGGAGGCAGTTCTTCCCTAGTCACATTTTGAGAGCCTTCCAACCTGAGGAGTTCATAGTCTAACATTAAATCTGACAATGTTCTGCTGCTTTATGGCATTTTCAGTAGCTAACTATTCTGATCTGGTAGCATAATGGTTACAAGTCAGGCTGTTAATTTCAAGGTCAATAGTTCAAAACTCCCAGCCATTCCATGGTACAAAGATGAAGCTTTCTGCTTCCATAAATAATTACAGCCTCAAAAACCTTATGCAAAGTCACTATGAGTTGGAATCAACTCCAGGCCACACCACAATCACCACCACCAACAGCCATTCTGAAGTAGCATGCTTCTCTTTCATTCTAGTCTGTCTTAGTCTGGAAGTTCCACTGAAAGCTGTCCTTCAGAAATGACCCTCCTGATATTCTAAATATTGGCAACATAGATTCTAGCATCACAGCATCACACAAGCCACAACAGTACGATAAACATGACAGTTGACTATGTTGTTGTTGTTAGGTGCTCTTGAATTCAATCTGACTCATGTTAACCCTGCATCGGGGTTCTGAGAAGAGGCTGGTGTATTTGAACCACCAACTTTGAGTTTCAAACTGACTTTGCAGTCCAGTTATATATTGAGGGATTTACTACTGGATTCTCAGTTCTGTTCCATTGGTCTATGCATCAGTATAGAGGTGCTATAAGTACTGTGACAGTGTAGTCGGTTTTTATATCAGGTATTGTAAAGCTCACTACTTTGCTCTGTATGTGTGTGTTAGTAGTGCTTTGTTTATATAGGGTCTCATTCATTCCCTGAAAAGTTGATGAGTAGTTTGTCCATCTCTTCAAAGAATAACCAAGGACTCTGGATCAGAATTGCATTATTTCTGTAGATTGTTTTGGAAAACATTGCCATTTTCACAATGTTGTCTTCCTAGAGTAAATGAACCAAAAAGAAATGATGAGTGTTTAAACATTTCAAGGTGTAACTTGTGATTAAGAACTGATGGTACTTAAGGAAGAAGTCTAAGCTGCACAGAAGTAATTGGCAAATAACAAAGCTCCAAGAACTGACAGAATATGAATTGGAATATTTCAACAAAGTAGTGCAGCATTAGAGGAGCTCACTCATCTATACTAAGAAATTTAGAGGACAGCTATGTGATCAACTGATTGTAAAAGATCTATATTTGTTCCCATTCCAAAGGGAGATAATCCAACAGGTTGTGAAAATCATATGATAATATCATTGATACCATATACAAATAAAATTTTGCTGAAGATAATTCAAAAATGGGTGCAAGAGTACATCAACAAAGAACTGTCAGATTATGAAGCCAGATTCAGAAAAGGATGTGGAACTAGTAATATCATTATTAATGTCAAATGGATCTTGGCTGAAAGCAGAGGATACCAAAAAGTTGTTTACAGGCCATCTTGCATCACCGCATGTGTGTGCCTAATACCAGTTGGTCTGCCAAAGACCCCCTGAGCGCCAGCCCTAGTCCCCCGCACGGCCCCATTTCCGCTCCATCAAGATGAAAGAAACAATCACGAATCAAGAAAAACTCGCCAAACTGCAGACACAAGTGCGCATTGGTGGAAAAGGAACTGCTCGCAGAAAGAAGAAGGTGGTTCATAGAACAGCCACAGCAGATGATAAAAAAACTTCAGTTCTCCTTAAAGAAATAGGAGGTAAATAATATTTCTGGTATTGAAGAGGTGAACAAACCAATGAACAGTGATACACTTTAACAGTCCTAAAGTTCAGGCATCTCTGGCAGCCAACACTTTCACCATTCCCGGCCACGCTGAGACAAAGCAGCTGACAGAAATGCTCCCCAGCATCTTAAACCAGCTTGGCGCAGACAGTCTGACTAGTTTGAGACGACTGGATGAAGCTCTGCCCAAACAATCTGTGGATGGAAAAGCACCACTTGCTACTGGAGAGGATGATGATGATGAAGTTCCAGATCTTGTAGAAAATTTTGATGAGGCATCCAAAAATGAGGCTAACTGACAGAGTTCACTTCTGAAGAAGATAAAACTTGAAGAAGTTACTTGGAGCTGCTATTTTATATTATGACTGCTTTTTCAATTTGTTTTGTTTATGGATCTGATAAAATCTAGATCTCTAATATTTTTCAGCCCAAGCTCTTTGGACATTGCAGCTCTTTTCAGTTTTTGCTTATACATAATTCATTCTTTGCAGCTAATTACACTGAAGAAGCCTTGGAATAAATTTGACACAAATGTTAATAAAGTTCTTTGCATAGTTAAAAAAAAAATGTTGTTTACTTGTGCATTATTGACAATTCAAAGCTTTCAACTGGGTAAATCATTACAAACTATGGATAATATTGTAAAGAACTGGTATTACAGAATGCTTAATTTGC